AGCGCAAGACAAAGACATTAATCACTGGTTAATGACTTTTGCTCGTTAATCGTAATTATTATTAATATATTTCATTAATGGAGCATTAATTGTAAATGAAACGGGTCAACCCAGATTTGCTGCCCATGGATCTGATCTGGGTACTCTAAACCTTGATCATCCTTTAAGTTAGGTTTCGCACGTGTTCTCTCAGTCTCACTCACACTGTCACACACTGTGCAGGATGTATTATTTGAACAATTATTTACTTCTTTTTTTAATATTTGAAAGTTGAATATAAAAATTGTTCTATTACGTTATTGTTTAATTATTATATGAATGGAATATAATTAAGATACAACTAATTTTCTATATTAACTATTTCCCGATGTGTTGACTTAGGGGTATAAGCTGAGCGGACTCATAAGCTCGAATTCGAGCTTGAGCTCATCTTAGTTGTTCATGAGCTCATGAGCCGACTCAATATATATATATATATATATAACTAATATTAAATATTTAGATTAATATTATGTAAAATTAGAAAAAAAAAATGTATATAAATGAGTTGATCTCAAGCTCGGTTCAACTTGAGCTCGAGCTCGAGTTTTTTACTCATCAAATGAAAGTCCGATGAGTTTGAGCTTAAAAAATCAACTCAAATTTCACACAAAGAGCCCATCTACACATTTAAAGAATGAAAATTTTGCATTATAATTTATGTTTAAATGAATTCAAAAACCTATTTATATAGAAAAAGTGCATGACTGCAAGGAATTCAAAGACAACTCTATCACTTTTCTTTTGGATCCAATTAAAAAACTTAAAGTATCAATTCAACCACCATCTATTCTCAAAAGACATAAACCACCATCTTCTCTACATATGAAAACCTCAAACATAAACTAAATAAAGCAAGAAGAGAATTAGAAAGTAAACAACATTCAAGACAAAATGTAAATTACTCTCTCTTGAAGCATTCTTAAACATACTTATTTTTCAATTACTCTTTTTACTAAAAACATCAAAGCGGAGGATCTCTGCCATAAATTAGCATATAAATGCCAGAAACATGCACAAAATTGATGGGTGAACAAGTAATAATATGGACGCACATCATAACATGTATTAACTAACCTGATAATGCAAACATATTTTAGGAAGAAGGCGTTCAAGCTTGTCATCTAAGCCGAGTCATAAGCTATCCGATTGAGCAAGCCCCATCCACCAGTCGACAATTCGTATGCAACAACTCCTTTCAACATTTGTACAATACAAAAAAGTTGGAGCGGAGTTAGATTTTTTTTCCCAAAAAAGCAAAATAAAAAAATTATGTAATCTGTAAAATCGAAGGGACACAAACCTTGTGCAACTCCGACGAAGAGCTTCAAGAAATATATAACGGACTTCTTCAATCAGCACGGGAAAAAAAGGAAAACAAATACGAATTTTTTTCTTATGTTAATCGAAGGAGAACAGAAGAAACCGAAATGTGTAGAGTGATGAACAGCCGGGGCTGCTAGGGAAGATGAGGTTTGGGGAAAAAAATGTAATATATACCGGGTATAAGTGTAATAACGGAAGAATATTGAGGGCTTAAAAGTCAAAAACCATGTGGGTATGTAGGGGAACGGATGGGATTGTGAGATCTCACCTCCCACGGTCGGATCTACGATCCATCAATTAGCGGATCGTAACCTGGGCCCAAGATCCATCCCGGGTCCGTTTATATGAACCAAAGTTGTGATCCGGGTAGATTAGAAGATCCATCCGGCCCAATCCATTCAACCAAAATAGGCCTAAATGAAAACAAATCACCTCAATATAATTTTCGAATTCACAACGATTCTTCAACAATCTTCTTTAATTGACAAAACCGCAGCGTTGCTTGCATAACAAACACATATTATGGCGCCTGAGCTTTCCTCCGGCGAAATATCCCCGGTTGCCCTTATAAGTCAACTGCCAATTCAATAGAAAATAGAGAGAATCTCACAAAATGTGAAAGATGATTAAAGAATGAACTAATTTCCTCTTATTATCATTATACTATCTATATACTTATTTATTTATGATCATTCTTTATAAAGTTTATTTATGATTTTTCAACTGCAATTAAACATAATTCAAATGCTATTTGATGTTTGCATTACAAGTTTTACCGAAGTTATTTCATTTTGAGTCATATGATAATATTTATGTAAAATTTCTTCTTAATCTATATCACATTCTATCTAAATTAATGCAATCTTAAGTTTTCAAGTCAATATATCTACTATTTGTTTTCTATGGGTGGAAACCTGGACATAATTTTTCATTCTTATCGATTTCAATATGAATTTTTTTGAATTTGGGACTGATGGGTTCACGCCCAAAGACTCATATCGACAAGCCCGTAGATGCAAACAAACCAAACTCCGATCGACTAAAGATAATAATGCAAGTCTAAGTCGGCTAAGGCCCAAACGGGTATAATCTAAACAGTTAGGCCCAAGTCGACCCATATTAAGTGGCTTAGGCCCATGAGAATAAATATCTCCATATAAATACCCGGAAACCTCACAATTAAAGGTACGCAATTCATAACTCCCGAGCAATCTCTTGAATTCTGAATTCTTCTATTATAGAAAGCTGACTTGAGCATCGCAGGGTTTTCGTCGGGACAAATCCCGACGCCCTAACGAATTTTCGTGATGTAGGTAGTACCCACGCGAGGAATCAAGAAGTGCGAGGGAGGAATCACAAAACGTGACGTGGAATCGTATCACATCAGGGACAATATTTTTATTATAAATTTAAATTTTTGTTTTTATTTATTTATTAAAACTGGAATATATACAGAACTTTGATTTTCAAAACGATTTTAATTCCAAACTAATCCCAAAAGATAAATTTTGAATTCCACCTATTTTGATTTAAAAAATTCTAATTTTGGTTCACGTTTTATCATACCGATGTTTTAAATTACAGATTTTTTTTTCTGATTTCTTTAATCAAAATTAGAATTAGTTGTTACTACACAGAGCCCTAGCGAAAAGCGAGTCTTCATAGGGAAATTGTCATTGCTTATGGACCCAAACTTGGGTGATCCATCTATGATTAGGGTGAAGCTTGGGTGAAACTAAGTGGAGGTCTGAAAACCGACTGATGTTAAAGAAATCAGCCGTTGAATTGTGGTTAGGACTAAAATGCCACCCGAACTCAGAACTAGCCGATTCTCCTCGAAATGCATTGAGGTGCAGCAGTTGACTGGACATTTAGGGATAAAACAATGTTTCGGTGCATGCACAAAAGAAAAGGAGTTTCTTTCAAAAGTGTATATTCTAACCTGATCCATCCGATTTCCACTTCTGATTCCGAAAATTTCATGATAAATAGTTTCATACTAACAAAAAATGTTTTCAATTTTGTCCTCTTTAACATTAAATTAAAACATATTTTAAACACAACGCAAATAAACTCATGCACTGGGCCAAGATCAGAAGGTAATCCAACAAAATAAGGCCCAGATAGATATAAATCATATCACGTGCAGTGCATGTGGTGTTCTAGAAAAATTAAAGCACAAGACAAAGACATTAATCACTGGTTAATGACTTTTGCTCGTTAATCGTAATTATTAATATATTCCATTAATGGAGCATTAATTATAAATGAAACGGGTCAACCCAGATTTGCTGCCCATGGATCTGATCTGGGTACTCTAAACCTTGATCATCCTTTAAGTTAGGTTTCGCACGTGTTCTCTCAGTCTCACTCACACTGTCACACACTGTGCAGGATGTATTATTTGAACAATTATTTACTTCTTTTTTTAATATTTGAAAGTTGAATATAAAAATTGTTCTATTACGTTATTGTTTAATTATTATATGAATGGAATATAATTAAGATACAACTAATTTTCTATATCAACTATTTCCCAATGTGTTGACTACGGGTGTAAGCTGAGTGGACTCATAAGCTCGAGCTTGATCTTGAGCTCATCTTTAGTTGTTCATGAGCTCATGAGTCGGCTCGATATATATATATATATATATAACTAATATTAAATATTTAGATTAATATTATGTAAAATTAGAAAAAAAAAAATGTATATAAATGAGTTGATCTCAAGCTCGGTTCAACTTGAGCTCGAGCTCGAGTTTTTTACTCATCAAATGAAAGTCCGATGAGTTTGAGCTTAAAAAATCTGGTGAGCCCGACTCATTTCCATACCTATTATTGACTATTCACGTAACGAAAATGGGCCAAATTTATAACTCGTTTTAGGCCATAAAATAGCTAAATATTAATCTAGATGAAATTAGTAATATTATTGGGAAAACAAGGTTTTATATGAGCAGGGCCATAGAGGTAAGGGTCATGGACAAAACCGATCGAAAATGATTATTTTTAGAATTTTTCGAATTTTTAGAAAGTTAAAAATGGATTTTAATTTCCGTTTAAAAAAAAAAAGTCGAATTCATGTAGGCGGAATTTTGGAATTTTTAGAAATTACCATATGTCATAACTTTTTGTCAAAATTCGGAAATGATCCGATATTTTGGACTTTTTTTTTTTGGAAATTTATTGCATTTTTCATTATTTAATATCTTACACAATTGTAAGAATATAGTGACAAAATACAAACAAGAAGCACCAACATGTCCACTTTGGTTATAAAATATAATTTATTTTGTAAAAAACTTGAAATACAATATTTGTAATTGAAATCAGATCAAAAATCGGGACTTCTGGATTTATATATATAATTCCCATTTCATTCAAAAAAAAAAAAATCGAAACTTTAGAAATCGAAATGAAAAAATAGTTTCAAACTCGATTTGTTTAGATCCAATTCGGAAATTTCAAGCATTAATTACAGAACAGATCTCTATACAATCCAACTACCAGCTTCTCCCGCAGTAAAACCCACCGACATAAGATTCCCGCCAAACCGTTTCTCTTTCTCTCTCTAGAAAAAAAAATAAAAAATAAAAAATCCAATTTGTACGTTTATGGTGGTATCATCCCATGTGCGCGAACCCCACAACACCGTATACATAAACCCTACCACCGACGCCCAATTACATCACCCCCCCCCTTCTTCTTCCTTTCATCACTCCCCCATTTTTTCTCAATTGAATTTCAAAGAAGAGAAATGGATAAGATTAATTTGGTAGTAGTACTTTTCTCTGTGTGCGTTGTACCCGCAATCGTTACCGCCCATTTCGCGGGCGACCCGTTTCTTGTCAAGGGTTGCGTCTACTGTGACAGCTGCCGCTGTGGCTTCGAAACCGACGTCACCAAGTACATGCCCAGTAAGTCGGTAGATATCCTCTCTCTCTAGATTTTCTCTCTCTAGATCTATAATAAGTATATTTTGTGGGGTGCATGTGCGCTGCAGGTGCGAAGGTGAGAATAGAGTGCAGGGATAGGGACAGTGCTAAACTCACCTACACACAGGAGGCGGTGACGGACGAGAGCGGGTGTTACAGCGCCGTTGTGCAGAGCGATCGCGGCGAAGACTTTTGCGATGCTGTGTTGGTGAAGAGCTCCGACGATGAATGCAGTGTACCTAACGCGGGCCGTGATCGGGCCCGCGTTATTCTCACCCGCAACAACGGCATGACCGACAATGTTCGTTATGCTAATAACATGGGGTTCCTCAAGAATATTCCCTTGTCCAACTGTGCCCAGATCCTTCACAAGTATCAGATTATTGACAACTGAATTGAAAGATTAACCATTGAGATTAATTATAATTAATAATTAGTTTTTTTTTTTTGGTTGCTTTTCATAATCATAGGATCTCCCTATGTTTTTATCCTTTGTATTAGTACTTGATATAGTTTTAGTTCGTGTATGGTTTATGGATGATGATCTTGTTGTTTGTCTTTCTATCGTCGCTAAATTCTATGTTGCACCTGATTAATAATATCGGGCGATTGTTAACCACACTGCATAATCACATGCACACCCATGTGATTATTTGACTTCATTTGCTGTTTAACAATTATTCAATTAAATAACTCAGTGTAGTATATAACTTCCGTTCGTTGTCGTAGATATCCATTGATGTTGGTGAAATAGAAATGGTGGTGTTTTAGGTTGTTCTTGGAAAAAATGAAAATTAAAGTTTTGTTTTTATTATTAGATTTGCATCTTTAAAAAGCATAGTTTTTAAACATATGGTTCTCAAATGAATTTGTTACATTATAAACTTTATTTTCAAATATGGAACTTTAAATTTGAAATGTAAAATATGAATTTTATTCATTGAAAATTGGCTATAAGTATTAATGAAAATATTGTTTTAAATGTTGATTTGTTTACATATTTTAAATAGAGACATTAATTAATTCATAGTAATGAAATAACAATCACATAATATATAGGAAAATAATAATTTCGATCTGATTTGTTTGATTTTCGTCTATCAAGCACAAATGGGAACAAAGGTCCTCAATGCTGGTTTACTTGGCCAACTTTTTTTTCTTTAGTAGTGAAGGAAGCTGCAACGAACTATACATGTACATTGAATAAAATTATATTCTCGTATCATAGCTTGCAAATCATACGAAAGACTAAAAACTACACCACGCTAACTATGTGTGACAAACTCGACCTCGAGACCTTTAGCATGGGATTCGAACCTGATGTTCACTTGCTCCAACCGCTATGTCATCCCTTGCGGAACCACTTGACCAACTTTTTTTGTTTCTTGACAATAAACTTGTGATAGTAGTTATTTTCTTATCCAACTACCTAACTTTTGAAATCAAACAATTATTATTATGGCAAATTACGGCCACCCCTTAAGTTAGGGTAATTGGCACTTTGCACCCTTGAATTACATGGGTTTGACACTTTACACCCTTAAATTGAAATAATAGCACTTTGCACCCTTTAATTGTAAATGGCTTGGCACTTTGCACCCTCTTGCATTTTTTGGCTAGAAAAATTATTGTCAACCGGTTTAATGGGAGTTGAAACAGGGCAGATTTATCTTTCTAGGATCCCATACTATGATTCATCTCGTCTTCCTCCTATGTTTCTTCCTCATGAACCTGTGTTCCTCAGCGGCGGACACGATTTCCGGCAACCAAACTTTCTCCAGCGACCAAACCATCGTTTCTTTCGGCCGGAACTTCGAGCTCGAATTCTTCTCACCAGGTAATTATTCAAAACACTACATGGGAATCAACAAAAAAGTCAACAAACAAACCGTAGTCTGGGTCGGGGTCGCCAACAGAGTAACCCCAATTTTCGACAAAAACTATGCCCACCTCACGATTGTCGACGGAAATTTAGTCCTGTTGAAGGAGTCAAAATCCCATATTTGGTCCACCGGTGTAAAAACTCCGAACAATTCCAGCGCCGTCGCCGCCGTGCTCGACGACGGGAACCTGGTTCTGAAAAATGGGTCGGGTTCAAACCCATCAAATTGTTCCCAACCCTTTCTATGGGAGAGTCTCGATCGATAGCCCAGGAGACACATGGTTGCCCGGTGGGAAAATGGCTTACAACGAAATAACACAAACGAAGCAGCTTCTTACATCATGGAAACATCTGGACGATTCTGCCCCATGTCTGTTCTCCCTCGAGCTCGGTCCAAATGGGAGTCAGTGCATCATAAGATTGGAACGATCATATTTTCAGCTTAGTACCTAAAATGACGTTGAATTATATCTGCAATTTCAAGTTTCAACTACGTTAATAATTCCGACGAGAGTTGCTTCCAATGAATCATAATACATGTAAGAAGACAAATCTGCCCCTCTTGGAACCCACTAAACCGGTTGTCAGTCATTTTTTCACCCAAAAAGTGTAAGAGGGTGCAAAGTGCCAAGGAATTTGCAATTGTAGGGTGCAAAGTGATATTTTTTTAATTTAAGGGTGCAAAGTGCCAAACTAATGTAATTCAATGGTGCAAAGTGCCAATTACCCCTTAAGTTATGGTTAAATTACAAAACATCTCATATTTGGGTAATTACAACCACCCCTCAAATATGTATTATCTTATGAAAAAACTCATCCAGAGGTAAATTTAGGGATGTTAAGTTGGTAATACCGAACCGAAATTTCGATACGCCAACTTTTCATATCGTTAACCGAACTAAATATACGATTTGGTTCGGTAACTAATCGAATTACATAAATTTCATGTAAAAATATTTAAAAGGAGGGGGTGGCTGTAATCACCAAAACATGAGTGTTTATTTTTCTTCATAATTTGGCCATACCTCCGCGGGTGGACGTAATTTTCCGTTATTATTATTTACATATTAATAGAGACTAATTAAAAATTAAGTAAACTATAAGGGTCCATTTGGATGGAGGGATTTGGGGAGGGATTTGATTTGAGGAATGGATTTGAAATGACTCCAATTTTTGAGTCATTTGAAATCCATCATTATTGCTCCAAAGGGGTGTGGATTTGAAATTCATCTCCAAATCTCTCAATCCAAACAAGTCCGAGGGATTTGTTATTATGGATTTGAAATCCCTCCACCAAATCCCTCCATCCAAATGCACCCTTATATATTATTGAAGTCCAAAATTTTGGGTTTAGTTTGTTTAAAGTTTGATTAGACTTGTAAACATCTCATAAGCCCAAGCCCATCTAAGAACTCCCCACAACCTTCCAACAGCAATACGACGTCGTACTGTTCTCCACCAACCTCCGGCCGGCGGGCAACTTTGATCGCAATTTCAACCCATTTCAGGTAAATCCCTTTCCAATCTTTTTAAATTGATAATATTCAATATTTTCAATGATCAGCTATTCTCTAATTTCAATTTAGCTGTTCATCGTTCCATTGATCCTTCAACTAGGGTTTTCTAATTTTTAATATTTTTTTTTTGTTTGGGCTCAGTTAAAAATCAAAATCTACTGATATTGATCGAAGAATGTATACTGTTATTCCTCGAGCTTTCAGCTCCAATTGGGCATTCATAAATGGCGGCGATTCCCATTCTTGTAAGAGATTTCAAAAATCCCCAATTGGACCACTTTCGTTTGTTCTTACAACAGGCAACAACAAAAGATTCAGTTCATCATGTCTGAATCCAGTTTCTTCCTCTTCCCAGATTCGCCTCAACGATTCTCAAGCAGCTGAAAGTGAGTCCTCCACAATCGAAGTTTCGGCATATGTTGTAATAACACGTGATCCCCATTGGCAATTTTATTTTATTTTATTTATTTATTTTTTGTGGCAGAGGAATCTGTTTTGATATTGATGAGGCACGGAGAATCGATGTGGAACGAGAAGAATCTGTTCACGGGTTGCGTAGATGTGCCGTTGACTAGTAAAGGAGTCGACGAAGCAATTGAAGCCGGTAAGAGAATTCGAAACCTACCTTTAGACATTATCTATACATCGGCTTTGATCCGTGCTCAAATGACAACAATGCTTGCTCTTACACAACACCACTGCATGAAGGTAATATTTTTTTTTCCGATTAGTTTTCGATATGAGGGGGCCGTGACCCCCATCTGCGTGTGAACTATACAGTACTTTATATAGAGATTTGTTTATTTCCGAGTAGTATGGTGTTATTACTGCCCCCCTACAGAACCTTTAGGCCTCTTTTGGTTTTCGATATGGGGGGCCGTGACCCCCCAACTGTATGTGAACTATATAGTATTTCATATAAAGATTTGTTATTTTTCCGAGTAGTATGGTGTAATGATCGCCCCCCTACAGAACCTTTAGGCCTCGTTTGGTTGATAAGATAAACCACGATTAATCCAACGATAACTTTTCGAGCAGACCCGAAATTATATTGGCTTGTTGGGGGATTGTTTGGTGCTCTCCGTAGTCCAATTATACAAATTGAGTTCTCGTAAGATTGCATAATCTTATCTTGGGAAATCTTATCTTTGGAACCAAACGAGACCTTTACTTACTCGATGTTTTCAGGATCCGGTGATTATGCATCACGAGACGGAACAAGCAAGAATATGGAGTCAGATTTACAGCGAGGACACCACAAAGCAAACTATTCCCGTCATCGAAGCCTGGCAACTAAACGAAAGAATGTATAAGAAATTCATTTCTCATTTTTTTTCTTTTTCTGTCATTCAATTTTCATCGTTAAAAAATAGTATATACAGTTAAACCTCTATAAATTAAACCTCTATAAATTAATACAGTCGGGACTAGCAAAATTCTATTAATTTAGCGAAATATTAAATTATCGAACGAATAATTTTACTAGGTCTTTACCGAGTCGGGATCAGAAGAAACTATTATCCAAGCGAGATTATTAATTTATCGAGGTTCTACTATATATATATATATATATATATATATATTTATTTATTTATTTATTTTTCTGACCGTAGGTATGGGGAGCTACAAGGTTTTAATAAACAAGAAACGGCTGAAAAATACGGTAAGGAGCAAGTTCATAACTGGCGTAGAAGCTATCACGTTCGTCCCCCAAACGGGGAGAGCTTAGAAATGTGCTTAGGCAGAGCTGTCACCTTTTTCAAAGAACACGTAAGAAAAATAAAAAACGAAAATACGACATGTCGTTTTTATTTATAACGTTGTAATAACAACATATGATACGAGACCGTGTTAATTACAGATCGAGCCATTGCTTTGGAGTGGAAAGCATGTGATGGTTGTAGCTCACGCGAATTCTTTGAGGTCCATAATTATGTACCTCGATAAGTTGACTTCTCGACAGGTAACATTCTTTTTTTTTGAAGAATCATTTTATTACGGATTTATTGATTTATTTATATACTGATATGACAGGTCATCAATTTAGAGCTGTCGACCGGTGTGCCTATGCTGTACATTCATAGAGAAGGAAACTTTTTCAGGCGCGGAAGTCCGATTGGTTCTTCCGAGGCTGGTGCTTATGCTTATACTGAGGTATTATTCACTTCTTACGGTCGATTAAAATCACTTATAAAAGCAGATTTAATTATAGAAGTGCTTCTTGAAATTATAACTTGAATCTTCTTATTTTGCAGAGCTTGGCTTTGTACAGGCAACAATTAGACTAAACAACTAAACCAATGATGGAGATTAAGAAGATGCTTCTTGTAAGAGATTATGTATTCTGAGGTATATTCTGCTGAATGCTATTACAGAGGATTTTTATTTGGCGCGTGTGTTGTATGGTTATGTTATGTAAGTCCGATTTATTTTTTTATTATTTTAGAGGAAAAAAAGAAATTCTGTTTGGTTTTGTTTATGGGTGTAAATCGGACGGATTAGATTGGAACTAGTCATTTCGATTTTTTTCGGAAGTGAAAAGCTAGTTCCAGTTCTGTCTAAAAGAACTCGGAAAAAATCGGAATTTCGGAAATTGGAACGAAAAAACTTGTTCCAAATCGGAAAATTTCGGATCCGAATCAGCGGAATTCAGAATTTTCCAAGTTTTGCTCACCTTAAATATAAAATACATAATGATTTTGGTATTTTAAATGAAATGCTATTTACGGTTACAAAATTGCTATTTGCGGTTTTTCACAAAACCCCCCAAAACTTTTCAAAAAAATCAAAAAACCCCCCAAACTGCGAATAGCAAAAAAAAAAAAAAAAAAAATCGAAAATTCAAAATTAAGCTTGAAGAAGGGTTGGGCTTCGATTTTTTGATGTAATTTCGACTCTTATGTGTAATATGCATTGGGTAGGTCGATTACGGAATCAATTTCATGTTAAAAAGCCCTACAAATCGATTTGTAGGGCTTTTTTTTTTTCGCAAAAAAATGTTCGAACGCCCGTTCCGGGCGTTCGTACACGCCTTGGGCACCCATCTTGGGCGTTCGAACATTTTAAAAAAAAAAAATTGTACTGGACGCCCAACTCGGGCGCCCAAATGCAGCTTGCACGCCCAACTTGGGCGTGCACTGCATGAATGGGCGCCCAAGTTGGGCTTTTACGCGTTTTGGGGGGGGGGTTTTGGATTTTTTTGGGAAGTTTTGGGGTCTTAGTGAAATAAAGTATTTTTTTTTTGGGGTTTTGTTATAAACCGCAAATAGCAACTTTCAAACCACAAATAGCAATTCCCTATTTTAATTGTAATATTCGGAAATAAAAAATCGGATTTTTTGGAAATATTTTTCGGAACTTTATTCAGAATGTAATCAGAATCTCATCATAAAATGATATTTGGATTCTTAGTTACTTAGTTAACATAAATAATTAGCACAATTTGTCCACAACATTCCATTCAGTAAAAAGATTAATAATAATAAAAATAAAATAAAAGAAATTTCCACAGCAAAATATTTATTGTTAACCAAACATTAGTATTCTTTATTTTCTTGCTTGCTTCTCAGAACATGTAGCTACAAATTAGACGTGACATGTCTATCAAAGAAGAAAACAAGAGTTAGGTCCTAATATGAATAACCCTCATAACAAGCAAACATGGATAGTTGGATAGTACTAACTGAAAGTATAAAGAACTATCCTTATACTTTCAGTTTGTAACTGATAGCAAGAAATAGTTATGTAACTATTTGACAGCCTGGGCAGAATAAAAACATGATTGCTTCCTTGTATTCCACATCTTGATTTCATTACAGGGAATCAAAAGTACGTATTCAAACTTCAATCTTTCCAATTAGACAAGTACTTACTTGCAAAACACGAGGGTTTGATACCAATTAGGCACTGCACTGCAGAGTGCAGAAAGCAGAACCGTCAAACAAGCAAGAAACAAGCGACAATTAAATAATATTGTATTAAGCCTTCATAGATCTATAAAATATGTACTGTACGTCTGTACCATGTAATTTAAGAATTATTTTTATGCTTTATTAATTTATATAATATATGGGGCTTCTTAAACTTTTCGAATGTGTATTATCTTATAAATTTAGCGAATTATTAATTTAGCACGTTGTCCCCGAGTCGGGACCGGAAAAATTTATTATTTAAGCGAGGTTATTAATTTATCGAGTATTAATTTGTCGAGGTTCTACTGTATATATATATATATATACATATATATTCCAATTCCGATCTAAATAATTTCGGAAGAATTGGAAGTCAGAATTTCGGAATTCGAATTGAAAAATATTGTTCCAAAATTGAATTTTTTTGGATCGGAATCGATGGAAATCGTAAATTTCGTTCCTATTTCCACCCCTAGTTTTGTTGTAGTTTGTATTCGAGAACTTTGTATCGTCTAATTAAAAATAAAATGGTAAAGTATAATCTAATTATAAAAATATTCGGTTAATTTTTTTAAAATTAGAAATAAATTGTTACAAATATTTTCTGTCAGATTTAGTTTTATTCTATAAACATTTCTTGACCAGAAATTAAAGAATCAAAACAATCATTCCAGCACACTTACTATAAAGAAAAAAATTAAAAAATATATATATTCTTAAAATTTAGTGGAAATTATTCCTTACCTTCCAGTTTAATCTTTCAAAATTCCCAAAATTATGATATTAAAATTGGAAAATAATTTAAAAAAATAATAAATTAAATAAATAAATGCCCAAAAATTACCAATTGCCAGCTAATATTGAACTGTGTATTAACCACTTACATCTTCCTATCCCGAAAGAGATGGCGCCAATAGCTGATCGCATATAACAGAATCCAAACCAAAATATCAAAAAAAATAAAAAAAAAATGAAAAAACAATTCCAAAAATTAATTAAAGCATACGAAAAATACTAATTAGCAGAGAAAATATTTTTTTTCAACAAAAAAGAAAACAAAAAGTCAAACAACACAGAAATTCAAAGTTCCATTTTCATAATCTTGAAAGTTTTTCCCCATTGGAAATCAAAGATGAAAATACTGCATTTATGAGGGTCTTCAAAATAATTAAATATATATTATTATTATTTTAATGGCATGTATGTTATGAATGAATGTCACCGCCGGCGAGGCCTAAAGACGCCGCCGATGTTATTATGACTAAGGCCACCGGCAGCAGATCCGGCAGCCCCACAAACACCACTGACAATTCTGTCAAACCTGAAAAGAAAAAGAAGGTATTTTTTTTTCTATATATATTAAAAAAAGAACCCCATTATTTTTATTAATTATTTTTTATTTATTTTTTGGTGTTGCATGAATGTTTATTTGTTGAATGGGGGTAAAAAGTGTATTATTCCAAAGATATTTGGTTCCAAGAAAAACAGCAGAGAAAGCTCAGAGGAGGATATTCTTCAATCAGATGAAAATGAAAACGAAAATGGTTTGTGTTTTTTTATTTTTTTTATTTTTTTTTATAATTAATATATTTAATGTTTTTTAATTTAATTATTTTTGTGACAGAAATGGATAAAAGTATTACATCAAGAGGAAAAAGTTTTATGGAGGCATCAACCTCCATTAGAAGAGGTTTCTCAGGTAAGAATTAATCATTCATTTGATATTAAACATATATATATATAAAATAAAAATCAAATCTTGTCAATTATCTTCGATCGTTTTCTCGAGTTTTTTCGGGTTTTCAGCATCATCTCCAAAGTACGAAACGGGATCATGCCACGTGTAAAATTAGTCGAAAAACTCGTATTCTTTGATTGTGTGTTTATTTCTGGTAGCTTACCTAACAGAAGACTAATATGCATGTATAGCTAGGATAGTTGTACAAGGCATTCATTGTATGTTGATATTAAAAAAAAAAAAAAAAAAATACATATATTATAAAAACATTATAAAAAATAAAAATGAAAAAGCCATAGTATTAATTTGTTCTTGTCTCTCAGAAAGGCATAGTAGCAGCTTGGGGATTGAAAGCCTAAACCTCTCGAGTTTCGATCAATCAATGGCATCTGCTACTACGTTAGTTCAAGACATTCGGTACAAGTTAGAAATAATTGTGTTTTCGGATTTTTTTTTATATATATATATTTCTCTTTTATTGTTTAAAAGAAAGTGATTTTACAATTTCTTGAAAAATTAAAAACAATTGTAGGGTTTTCGTTGCTACGTGGAATGTAGGAGGCAACGCACCTAACCACGGACTCAAACTCGAGGATTTCTTGCAAGTAGAGGGCTCTGCGGACTTATACGTACTCGGGTACTAATCGTTATTACCATAATTTTTTTGTGTTAGAATTCTAACAATAAAAACACAATAATTTTTTTGTTATTTTTTTTTTCTCGTTTTTTTTTTCTCGTTTTTATTGTGATCGATTAAATATCAGGTTTCAAGAAATTGTTCCATTAAGTGCTGGAAATGTATTAGTGATTGAAGACAATGAGCCAGCATCAAAATGGCTAGCACTCATAAGCCATGCACTCAACAAACCCTACCACGATTACGTTTGCTCCTCGTCGAACTCGAGCGTAAATTCAAGAAACTCGAAGGACTCGAGCGTAAATTCAAGAAACTCGAAGGACTCAAAGTTAAATAACAATAACAACCACAACAACATATTTCACAAGCCATCTTTGAAAGCACTTAGCAAGAATCTGAGAATGGACAGTGAACTTCTGAAGACGTGCAGTTGTTCAAGAAAGGAGATTCGAGACGACGCTCGTTCGTCGCCGCCGTTGGATTATTCCCGTCAGAGCATGGATAACGACAGTTTCGTTTCAATGGCCGAGATTTCCTTGCCCGCGACGAGATCGATGAATTACCAACTCGTTGCTAGCAAGCAAATGGTCGGGATATTCCTTTCGGTATGGGCTCGTCGGGATGTCGTGAAAGATATCGGACATTTGAGGATTTCTTGCATGGGAAGAGGAATCATGGGATGTCTTGGCAATAAGGTACTACTATTAAACTTTTAGGGATTATTATTAGCTTAAAGTCCCTCAAAAATTATTTTCTATAACTTAAAGTCCAGGTGGATATTTTGAATTTGCTTTAAGTCCGTCGAACAGCTTAGACTAAAAATAAACAACTTAGACTGAAAATATACAGTTTTGACTAAGGATTGTGTTGTCGAGTGCATCTATTCATGCAGTGTCAAGTTCTCAGTTTGAGTTCCCTGTCTAAGATGTAATATTTCAATTTTAGTTGTCTTTCTAAGATGCACCGAAAGGACTTTAAGCAAAATAGTAAAATATTGTTGCCCTGATGTAAAAGAAAATTAGACTTGAAGGGTGTTTAGCAAATTGCCTATATGAAACCGAGACTCTAAAAAGATATATATGTATGTACAGTAGAAACTCGATAAATTAATAGCCTCGCTTAAATAATAATTTATTTCGGTTCTGATGACTCGGTGAAAATATGTTAACTTATTAACTCGATCATTTAATAATTCGCTAAATTAATAGAATTTCTCTAGTCCCGATTGTATTAATTTATAGAGGTTCAATTATATATATATATATATATATATATATATATATATATATATATATATATATATATATATATATATATATATATATATATATATATATATATATATATATATATATATATATATATATATATATATATATATATATATATATATATATATATATATATATATATATATATATATATATAGATATATATATATATAAAAATCTCGAGATACAGAGATACACATACGCACACACATATACAGACATATATATATATATGCATACATATATACACATATATATACATATACATATATATATATATATATATATATATATTTTTATACACATATATATAGATACATACATACACACATACATTCTTATACACACACACATATACGGGCACTCACTCGCGCGCGCGCGCGATAGAGAAATAGAACACGCGGGGGTGTTTGCGCGCGGGAGATT